GTATAGCTCATGTATCATTTTCTTTTTTCTGGAGTGTATTACAGAACCAGTTACATTTCTAGCCTCTTATTATTTATTTATGTATTGATGATTGGTGTATTTACTATGATTGTGCATTATAACTGTATGCTCTTTTCTAGATTTCTTACTTTATTTTGCTTTGAGGAGCTATGACGGAGTCAATACTAGACTCTTAGGATGTTAAACTTTCTACAAAGAAATAATCTTCTTAAACAAGATAAAAATGATCGTAGGATTTAAAATCAATCCAAAATTTTAAAACTAAATGCATGACCACTCTCGGGTTAACTTTTTTAAAATGCAATGAATATTTCAGGCCAAGTCCATCTCATAGTGGCTACTATCTAGTTTTGATTAGTCCTACCCATACATGCATGGCTTAAGTCAAAGTCTATAGATTTTGTATTTTGTCACATAGAGGGATAATTCACTTTTGCATAACATAGTACCATTCATGGTTAAGCTTTAGGCGCATTTCCCTTTTGTACCTCTCACCATTCTTATATTTACATATGATCGGACCTCATGAATTTGATTTCCTTGGTAGAGTTTAGTTGGTACTCCTTTATGAGAGGAGTGGTAAATCCTAGTCAAGGCTATTTAGATCCCGAATGTGGTTTAATTTATAAGTCCTCTCTATGTCTTACATTAGTTAGGTCGTGGTCTTTAGTACTAAGTGTATAGTACATCTTCTAGATATTTAGGATCAAATGTTGGCGGTATGGGTATATCGTTGCATGCCTTATCATTAGGTAATGTCTTCATTATTTGGAGGCTATAAATCACACCTATCCATGTCATATTGATGACATTGCTTCCATCTCTCTCACACATATGATTTGTATATGATGCTTCTTCTCGAGGTTTCTCCTCTTTTAATTGTTTGAGTGATTATATGATCCTTGCATGTTAAATAACCTGATTGAGTTTATCTTCATTTAGATTAGGAGAGCTAATATATTCACTATGTGTTAAACCTTGAAGAGAATAAAATAACATCTTTAATTGAGAGTTTTTATTGGTTGATGTCTAAGATGTAATGAACCACAAGGGCTTGTGCCTGTTGGAAACTAGCACCCACATCAAATAAACTGTATTCAAGCAGATGTATTGAATAGGGTAAATCTCATGATTATCAGCTATGCATATTATTATTCATCGAGATGTGTAGGAGAAAAACACTATTCTCCATGAATAATCATATGCATAACTCCATATGCTACCTCATCGGCCTACTTGCATAGAGCATAAAGGCCCACGATTATTTTGTCCTACAGGATAGTGCGATCGTACCCTTTGTATTCTGAACCCCGCTTATAGAAACCTTTCAGAGACTCAAATAGCCTAAGGCATCAAGTAAAGTGATCCTTTATCTCCTGCTCTCTATATTATTGCTGCTGATTATTTATCTAAAGATTTATCTTAATTTTTTACCACTCACTAAAGTTGCTCTTATAAGAATTTTGGTGGCTTTGATATTTCTCATCTTTATTTTACTAATGACATCTAATAGCTTTATTAGGGTGTTAATAAAATTTATAAGCTTCTTTCTATCTTTGAAAAGGAAAGTGGTCTTCATTTTAATAATAGTAAATATTACTTTATTAGTGGCAAGGGTATGTCTATTATGCATTATAATAATATCATTTCCTACACCAATTTTTGCAATAAGGCCTTACCTATTTTCTACCTTGGAACTCCTTTATTTAAAAGTCATAAGCGTTCCTTCTTGTTTGATAAACTTTTTGTTTCTAAGTCAACCAAAATTATCTCATGAGAATTCAAACTTCTTTATATGGAGGCTTGTCTCCTTATTAAGAGTATGTTGCGCTCTATGCCTATTTACTTACTTTAAACCATTAATCCTTCTTTTGTTGTTTATGATAGATTGGAGAAAGTTCTCAACAACTTTTTTGGGTCTCAATGTTAATTCAAAAAAAAAAAAAAATCACTAGACAAAATGGGGAGCTTGTACAAACCCTCTTTTGGAGGGAGGTTTGGGTTACAAGTCTATTCATGATTTATTTAAATATTTTTCACTTAAACTTTGATGAAAATTTAGCAAAAATGACACTTTATAGGGAAATTTTATATATCAAAAATATTTAAAGAATTTGCATTCGACTATTACTTTTTTTTAGCTAGGGCAATCCCTAGGTGGAAAAGGATTTGTGATACTAAATGGGCTACTGAACCTATTATTCAATGGGGAATTCAATATGGGTCTTCCCATTTTTGGAAGGATAATTGGTTTGGTGTAAGGTCTATTGAATCTTACCTCAACACTCATTTTACTTCTTCATTGAAAGTTTCTTATTTCTTTAATGATGCTAATTGGACCACTAACTATCTCCAAGATTTTATCCCTCAAAGTTTAGTTGACAATATTTGTGACATTCCCATTAATGTAAATTGCAATAAAAAAACTTTGTTTAAATTGTCTAATAATGGTTATTTTAGTCTTCAAAAGTCATGGAATTTTTTCAAAAGCAAAAAAGAGTCAATCTCTATTTTTGGTAAAATCTGGAATTCCTCTCAATTCTTCTTTGTTAGCATGGAGAATCTTAAAAGGTTTTATTTCTGTTGATACTAGGCTTCAAGAGAAAGGTCTTAATTTGGCTTCCAAATGTTAATGTTATTTCAATTTTGAAATTATTCCTCATGTGTTTCTTAATGGCTTTGTGGCTAACAAAATTTGAATTGCTTTGGAAATAGAGTACATATTAAGACTGGCTTTAATGTTAACAATATTTTCCTTTTTTAAATGGCTAGTTTTAGAATAAATTAAAGGACATATTGTTATGATTATTACCTGAATTATTTTTAGGATTTTGTGGGATGGAAGAAACAACTATAAGGATAAGGGTATTAAGATGTGTTATCAAAGGGTGCTTTGCATCTTGGTTTTCAAAATTCCGTAGCTTTATAAGGCTGTTGTCTTAACAACCAAACATTTTAGTGGGAGGAAATACTAGTTATCCTTTTTTAATATTAATTGTAAGAATACTATAAAGATTTCTCCTCATAGGGATGTGAAGTGGTGTAAGCCCAATTTGTGTGAATTTAAGCTCAACATTCATGGTTAGATAATTAAGTCTCGCTATGGGTTTGGTGGCCTGGTCCAAGATCATAAAGGAAAATAAATTATTGGCTTTGCCTCTATTTATCTGACCCCTGATGCTTTAGCTACTATTTTTTAACCATAAACAAAGGTTTAAGGGAGTGTTCCTCTCCTAACATTCAATTTTTATAGATTGAATATGATTTTGAGGCCTTAATTTCAATTATCAAGAATAATAAATGCTTGAACTATAACATCTTTAATAAATTTCAGAAAAATAAGGCTTTATTAGGTTAGTTTGCTTACAAGATTTCTGTTATTTAGAAGGCTGCTAATGTTTGTGATATTTGGTTGGCTAAGGAAGGTCCATTAAGCAATGGTTTAATTTCCTATACTATTACTAATGCTCCCCACTACCTGAAAGGTAGTTCTTTACTAGATGTTATTGGATTTCCCTATATTTACTAGTTATTTTGTTCCCCCATAAGTTTTTTCTTGTGCCTGTTGCTTTCAGCTGCTTGAAGGGCTTTTGGGGTCAACCTATCATTTGTCAGATGGCTGGGAGTTTGTTAATTTTTTTTTTCTGCAAAGTTTTTCTGGAGCTTGGTTTGTGTGCCCCTTAGGGTCTTCACTCTATTGTTTGCATTTTTGCATCCTTTCTCTGCTTGCTCCATGATGGTAAGCTAGATTATTTTTGAGAATGCTCCTCTATAGTGTCTCTTCAATCTTTGGTCTTCTCCAAGTGGTTGGTCTTCTTCCAGTTGGATTTTTGATCCTGAGGCTTTTGTTTTTTTGCTTTATTTAGCTTTGGCTCCTAGTAGTTGGTTTTAAAAATTTTTTATTTTCTTTAATATATTAATACGTAGACCCTTCTATGGATTATATATATATGCATGTATATGTATGTATGTACACACATACACAAATACATGCACACATAGATACATATTAAGAAAAAAATTGAAACCACTCAAAATGGTACCTTATTTTGACACCAAGAGTCATTTGGACCATTTCAATGATTTGGAAGTGTGAACAATAAAGATTATGACACTCCATTTAATTTAATTTGTATTTTTACTCTACTATAAAAAAAATTAAAAATAGCTTATACAAAATTATTGTATACTAATTTTAAAAAAGAATATATTTATATTGAGATCAATATGTATGAGAGGTGACCAATTTTGTAAATTTTATTATTATTATTTTTTTTATTTTTTTTTAGTTTAGACGAAAGTGAAGCTATGGTCTATTATTGTGGTCCTTCATGATTTTGTTTTTAGTTGGCCGTCATCATCAAGATTATTGGAGGTTTAATCAAAGACTTCTATTGACTTACACTTTTCCATAAACTAAAAACTCATATTATTATTATTATTATTATTATTATTAGAGTTATCTTTAATCCATATATAAACTTCATTGATTTCTGAGCTAAGGTTTGAAAATTGCAGTAACCAGTTCTTTGATCTTCTTCATCCTCCTCATCATCCATAGTCGGAGAAGAAGTAATGGTAGTTTATGTTATATATATATATATATATATATCATACATGCATACATACATACATATTAAGAAACAATTTGAAACCACTCAAAATGGCATCTTATTTTGACACCAAGAGTCATTTGGACCATTTCAATGATTTGAAAGTGTGAACTATAAAAGATAATGACATTTGATTTAATTTTATTTGTATTTTTACTCAACTATATAAAAATTTAATTAAAATTTAAATAATAGCTTACATAAAATTATAATAAAATAATTTTAAAAGGAATATTTTATTTATCGAGATCAGTATGAGAGGTGTCCAATTTTGTAAATTTAAATTTTTTTTATTTTCAAAAAGTTAATATTTTTTTTTTTTTTAAGTTCAGACATAAATGAAGCTATGGTCTCTTGTGGTCCTTTTATGATTTTATTTGGAGTTGGTGGTCATCATCTACATTATTGGAGGTTTAATGAAAGACTTCTATTGACTTACCCCTCGTCATCAGCTAAAAACTCATATTATCATTAGAATCATCTTTAATCCACATAGAAACTTCATTGATTTCTAAGCTAAGGTTTGAAAATGGAAGGAACCATTTCTTTGATCATCTCTAATCTATTGTCTTCCTTGGAACGGTTGTCACAATTTATGCCTATCTTTACTTCACTGGCTGCATCTTCTTCATCATCTTCATCATCCACAGTTGAAGAAGAAATGATTATTGATGTTAATTCAATGCAAGAAGGATTAATGGAAGACTTGAGTCGGTTGTTAAGAATACTGCAAAGAATTCAAGCATTGCTCCATGATGCTGCAAAGAGGGAAGTCCAAGACAAGCAAACCAAACTCTGGCTTAGTGAGCTTAGAAAAGTTGCTTATGATGCTGAAGATGTTTTGGATCAATATGATTATCAAATTATTAAAACCCAAGTGGAAGGAATGACAACAACCGAAGAAAAGCCTTCCCTACAGAGGAAAAAAGTAGATGATGACGACGATGATTTTTATGGAGACCAGGTATGTCTTCTCATCCTCAAATCAATTAAAATTCTAGTTATTAGAAAGCGAGGAGATAAGTTGATCATGCATGACAATTATGATCAGGTATCACCCCCATCCTCCAATTCAATTAAAATCCCTATTTCTTGCGACATGGCCATGAGGATCATTGAGATCATAAAGAAATTTGATGAGATTTCAAATGATAGAAAAGCACTTCAGCTTAGAGAAGAGAATGCACCTAGGAGGCCTTGTTTCAATGATGTTATGAAGAGGCCACCAAGTAGTTCTCTTGTGCGTGAATCTGAGATTTTTGGAAGGGAGGAGGAAAAGAAAAAGATAATTCAATTGTTAATGTCTCATGAGAAGGAAAATATTGTAATTCCCATTGTTGGCATGGGGGGTGTGGGAAAGACGACAATTGTTCAACTTATATACAATGATCCTGTGGTATGCCAAAATTTCTACCCGAAGGTATGGGTTTGTGTCTCTGAAGAATTTGATGTGTTGAGAGTCACAAAAGAAATTGTGATATCCATTATGGGTTCATCCATTCACAATGATAATAATAATTTGAATGATCTTCAGTGCATACTCAAGAAGGCTTTATTAGACAAAAAATTCCTTCTTATTCTTGATGATGTATGGAACGAGAGACCAGAAATGTGGGAGGTCTTGCGAGCCCCCTTTTTTGGTATTGGAATGGGAAAGATTATTGTAACAACTCGATCTATGTTAGTTGCTCGCATCATGCAAACGGTGTCCCCACTTGAGCTTGAATGCTTGAATAAAGAGATGTCTTGGTTATTGTTCCAAAGACATGCTTTCTGTGGATGGGAGCTTGATCAACAACTAAATTTTGAACAACTTGGGAGGATAATTACTAATAAATGTGGTGGACTGCCTTTGGCTTTGAAGGTTATTGGGGGATTTCTACGATATGAAGTTGATGATGAGATATGGATGGATGTGTCAAACAATAATTTAGGGGAGATTGAGGATACCAAAAATTTTATTTTACCTGCACTAAGGATAAGCTACAGTCACTTGCCATCATATCTTAAACCTTGCTTTCTTTATGCATCTCTATTCCCAAAGAATTATTACTTTAAAAAAGTAGAATTGACAAGAATGTGGATAGCTCAAGGTTACATTCAACCTACACGAAGAAAAAGATTGTTGGAAGATATTGCATTTGAATTCTTTGAAGACTTGGTGAAAAGGTCATTCTTTCAATGGTCAAAATATGTTAAGTGCTTCACTTTACATGATATGGTGCATGATTTAGCTCATTCTATAACTAGAAATGAGATATTTTCCTCATTGGATTTTGATACAAAGAACATTCCCAAAGATGCAAAGCATATTTTCATACAACGAAGAAAGATTAATCAGATTAGTTTAGGTGGGGCCATAAGAACACTTTACATTGATCCAAATATTTTTTCTACAGAGTCATTATTTCATTTGAGCTGCTTGCGTGTTTTGAGATTTCATGCACCTATATTTGAATGCAACCATCAATTTGTAGTTTTAATAGGCAGCATGCATCAACTACGTTACCTATCTATCCATGCAAAGATGATCCAAATGACAGAGAACTCATTAGGCAACCTTTACAAGTTACAAATACTAATACTCCTATCTTCTCATATAAATATGATACCTCCTGCATTTGGAAAACTTATCAACTTACGACACTTGATTATTCAAACCATGAATGAAGAATTGGTGCCAAGATCATATTTTGGGAGTAAAAATCTCCTTACGTTGAATTTTACTCCAATCTTTGACTTTTATCACATAACAAATGAATTTGTTGCATCTGAGTATCAAGTAAGAAAAGATGGCCAATATTCTAGCATTAGATGGTTGAAACCCCTAATGAATTTGCGTGGGAGTCTAGATATCTATGGGCTTGAAAATGTGGTCGATTTTGAAGATGCAAAGAATGCCAATTTGCAGAGTAAGCCATATATCGAGAGCCTAAAACTTGTTTGGGCAAATATTAAATATGATGAATGTGCAAGGAATGATGAAGCTGTTCTTGAAGGACTCGAACCCCACACAAACCTTAAAAATTTATCTATAGATGGTTACAGTGGTAACTGTTTCCCAAATTGGTTTGGCAATCCATACTTCTACAATTTATCAAACATAAGGTTGACAAGTTTCCAAATTAAAGAAGAATGCAAGTTTCTTCCTCTGTTCAAGCTACCTTCTCTCAAATCACTTAAAATAGAGAAGAATAAGGAGATAACGAAAATGGGGCAAGATTTTTGGTGTTATAATGCCCCTTCCGAAGGTCATGAGAATTACTCTACAGAGGCGCATGTGGATTTTCATTCATCCAAAAATATGAAAAATAAAAGTTTTCTTGAATGGAAAGAGCATCGAATGGTGAAGAGTGGAAATTTCTTGAGCCTTAAGTATTTACACATATTTTATTGTAAAAAGCTGCAACAGATATCGACCCTCCCATCAACTCTAGAGGAATTTTCAGTGGACCACTGTGAAAGACTTGAATATATTGCACTCCCTTTTAGCTCAAGATATCTTCCTAGGCTTCAAAAAGTGGATATTTATTTATGTCACATTCTGAAGTCAGTGATCAACTTAAATAATCTTCTTGGCACTCTTAAAGTTCTAAAGTTAGGTAACTGTTACCTACTCGAGCCCAATCCAGATGAAGACTATGATCTTTCATATGGAAGAGTTTCATCAGAGAAAGGCATTGGACATGTAACGGAATGTCCAGGGATGAGAGAGTGGTGCCAACGGCATGGTTTCACCTATCAAGAGGTAAGTATATATATGGTTTCACCTATCTCAATCTTTGTGCTAGCAATATAAATAATATTTGCTTGTTTAAATTAATTTAATCTACATACATTTGGATAAATGTTCCGAACGTACTTTTGTTTGATCACTAATGAAAACACTTATAACTGGTTCTTTTTTTTTGCTTATTTTAAAATAAGATAGGAGATTTCATTCTATATAGCAAACAAAATAAAAACTAAATTTATATTTCATAAATTTCAGTTATATAGTGAATTCTTCAAATAGTCTATCTTAGTCTCAAATTATAATTTCTTATTAATTTCATATGAAAATTCAAGAATTAAAATTTTTTTCTAAGAATATAATAAAATCAATTGGATTTATAATTTTATTAGTACCCATAATATAACAAATTCTAACCATAATTCTAATGGTTTGCAGGATGGGTCCAAATTGAATCTGAAACAAGTACTTCGTCTTGATTTGGATGAGTTTCCTAATAAAGTAAGCCTCTTTCTATAATAAGCATCCTTTCTATAATAAATTTTTTTTGGGAGAATATATAAATCATTTAAAAATAGTATTTATATAAAAAATATCACATTGTTTCTTACTTATTCAATGAGGAACTTTGGACTCATTTGTGTAAGAAAATAATAACTTTATTTTGACTAATCATTTTAAGCTTTAAATGAAAATAATCATTGAGTTTTAAATTTTTTTTTAATATTGAAAATATAATTTGAAACTTCAATTAATAAAATTAATTAATGAACTTATAAATAGTTTATTATAAAGTGTAAGAATTTTACATTGCTATTACAAAATCTAACTCTTATTCTAATGGTTTGCAGGATTCGGACAACTCTTACGACAAGGTATGTCTATAAATTTTAAGCATGAAATAAAATCGATCAAAATCCCTGATAATTTAAAATCAATGAGTTCTATAATTTAATTAAGATTCAAAATATAAATTCTAAACTTCAATTAACCAAATTAATTAATGAATTTTTTTATAGTTTGATTATGAAGTGTAAGAATTTTAACATTGCTACTACTTATAATAATTAACTGTCGATAACCAATTCTCTTTATTTGCAGGATTGCCAGGAGCTCGATTCGATTAAGGAAGCGATACTTGTATGAATTTAGAATGATTGAGATTTATAATTTTATTCATATACAAAATAAAATTTTTAAACTTCAGCTAATCAAATTATTTAATGAACCTTTATATAGTTTGATATCAAATCAAGTGTAGGAATTTTCACAATTGATAACATATTCAAACACTGATATTTTGATTCTAATGGTTTGCAGAATTGGTCCCGACAGCGCAAAGTTTAGGATTTGGAAGAGGAAATAATCTGATCTTTTGGAGTTCACCCATTAGTGCAGCCCTCCTTCCTATAATAAGCATTTCCAAAATAAATCATTGCAAAATATTTAGTTTTGGTATTGTAGTATGAATTTGATTTTCTTATATTTAGCCAAACTTTAATTCCTCTTCATAAAGTGGTTTAAGCACTTGAAGAAGTTCTTGCTGAATTTGGTTGTGATTTATCTCCAAATAGAATAGATTTCATCTCCAAATGTGCTCTAAGATATAAAAGAGCTTCTTCCTCTCATCCTCATCTCCTGGTACAATCATAGCAGACCACAAGCAAGATTCAAAGACCTTTTATAAGAGCAAAGCAAAAGAAAAGTATAAATGACATTTGTCATATATAGCTATATTGAATCAATGAAATATTTTGTGCTTAGTTTGACAACAATTTTTTCTATCAACAACTATTATCATGTTCTGTGTGTTTTCATAATAATGTTGCTTCTCCTTCATTCATTCATTTCTTCTTTAATTATTACAAATATGTAAAGAAATATTTAAAGACTGTACCAAGCTCTTGGAGCCTGCTTTAACCCATACAAAGCTTTCTTCAGCTTCAGAACTTTATCTTCTTTTCCTTTAATAATAAATCACGACGGGTGTTCTACATAGATCTCTTCTTCTAGAAAGCCATTTAAGAATGGTGACTTCACATCTAGTTGATAGATCTTCCATCTCTTTTGTGTTGAAGGTGCTATCAAAACTCTTATTGTGTCAAGTCTAGCAACTGGAGCAAAGGTCTCATTGTGGTCAACTCCAAACTATTGTGAGTAGCCCTTAGCAACTAGTCTTGCTTTGTATTTTTGTATTGATTCATCTAGGTTGAGATTTGTCTTGTAGACCCATTTTACTCCAATCACTTCTTTTTCTTTTGGAGAGTCCACTTGCTCCCATGTATTGTTCTTCCCAATCATCATTATTTCTTCTTCCACAACTTTTCTCCATACTTCAAGTAGAGCAACAACACCTTAAGAGAACAACTCCTATAACAAAAAGTATGAGCAGTAAACTTATAAATAAAGAGTAACTCAAATACCCGAGTATTCTAAAATGTGAAAGACCCCTCAGCTTCAGAAATCTAAAGTGAATCGCCGCATAATAGTGATTCAAACCTAGCCTAACGAAATACAAATATAGTAGGGTGGAATATTTTCCTCTTAAATCATCTAGGAGTTTCAAGAGAAGACACGACATGACTCTTAAACTCATATTTTTAATTAGTTTTTTTTTTTTTTTTCAAATGTATATAATATTTTTCAAACTCATTTCATAATCCCTTACCATCTTATTTGCTTTTTAAATAATTTTCATTAATTTAATACCACCCAACTGCTCATATTTTATTGATTAGATTATAAACTTTCATCATCTTGCCACGACACATTAAAGATATTGGAGACTTCAAGATATATCAAATGATACAAGTATTGGAAGTTTAGAAGAAGGATTCCATCTTCCTACCACAGAATATTCATTCCCGTTAAAGCTATGAAGACTTGGGCTTCATTTGGGACGGCTTCTTAATTATTGCTTTTCTTTTCAATATAAAAATTATTTTTGTATTAAAAATTTATTTTAAAAAGCAGTAAGAAAGCCGTCCCAAATAAACTCTTAGAAGGATGACTTATTAATTGACACAATTATTGAAAGTTTATAAAAAAAGATTTCATCTTCCTATCATAAAACATTCATTTGCACCTACCTTTCAAATCAAGATTAAATTTCTTTTTATTAAAGCCCCACAATTATTCATATTTCATTATAAATTTATAAACTTTCATTTAGCATAATTTAGTTAAATTAAGTCGTTTCTTCTCTTTTATGCTAAAATATATTTATTAAATAAAAAATTTTATTAACTAATATTTATTTATTGATATTGTTCATTTTTTATAAAAGAATTCATTTAATATAATATCAAGTGATAATTTTTTCAAACTAGTTTTACATATGTGATAAATTTAATAAAATTTTTATTTTTAGGGGCTATTAAAATGAATTCATTCTCATATAAATTAATTTCATATTTATTTAATTATATTAGTATTTTACATTTTTTATATTTAAGAAAAAAATTATAATTATGTGTCTGATACATGTTAATTTCTTATAATTTTAATAATAGATATATCTCATATTCATATCATATTATGTCTTTAAATTTATATTAATATTTGTTGTGAACTAGAATATTCACGGCGTTAGAGCTATAAAATGCTTAACGTTAGCTTTGAATGAATATCCAACGCACATATAGAGAAAGAGAGGGGTGCATCATCTATAAGAAACGCCAAAATTTTTACGTGGAAACCTCTAAAAAGATGATAAACCACTGGGCCATGTCCAATTTGAATGAATCCACTAGTTCTTACTGTTTATTACAAATGATGTCTTGCCTCAGGGGGAGGTATTGATTGAATGTATCAAACATACATGTTGACGGGCATATTACACGTATGGTTGGAGTTGAAAGAATCTAGTGACATCAGAGTTGCTCCTAAGAGAATGTTGGCATGTTTGTTTAGTTAGTATGATAGTAGTCGAGTGATGAATAGAGGTGTAAAAAAAGGTTTTCAGGTCAGGTTTGGGTCAAACCCGAAATTGACATGGGTTCAAATGGTTGACTCTAATCTAATCCAATTATATAAACGAGTGAGATTTTCTTACCCAGATTCGACACACTAAGTTACTGGGTTGACCCAACATGACCTGCTAACCAGCCTAACTTGAATCCCCTTCCCAACACAAGCGAATAGTTTGAGCTAAAGCAGTGCGACAACAGACTGAATTGTAGGGGCGCATCACTCATGTGAACGAGTGCAAAATACATAAGGTGTGGCACTCAGCTGTGGGAGTGGGCAAGGATGCACCGATGCAGCCTTGCGGGGGTAACACTGGTTTGGGTGGGTTCGTGGGGACAAGAGAGAAGCATAGACTGGGAGGGCACAAGAGCGGTGCAGACTACGAACACGAGGGTGAGAGAATGGGAGGGGGTTCGGGTGCACTATGGCATGGCTTAATTGGTTGTTGGATTGTGACCATTAGGCTAAAGCGAATCGAGTCATTTCAGGTTTATTTTGGGTCAATATGATCCCACCCAGATTTTATAAAGGGGGCAAAATCTTGAACTCGAACCTAGCTAAACCTTATGGAAAACGAGTTGAACCAAACCCAAACTTTTTTGGATCAAATCTGGGTCGTGTTTTAGGTTGGGTAAAATATTGACACTCCTAGTGATGAATGTTAGAGGGGCCAAAGTTAACGGACGATGATGGTTGGAGGGACTACAGTCACCAAACAACGATGGTCAGAGGAATTATAGTCAATGGGTGATAATGATTAGAAGGATTGTAGTTGGCAAACGACGATGGTTGGATGGATCGTTGTTGGTGGATGATAGTGGTTAAAGAAACTTATTTTCCATAGAATCCAATTTGGAATAATTTTTTCTTTTATCTATTATTAGACAATGGTCAGAGTTATCTAATTTTCATTTATAAATAATAATATTAAAAATCAATGAAAAAATATTCTATTGATCAAAATTTTTATAGGCTATTTATTCATTTCTCTAAAATCGTATATTATACACATCAATTATATAAACACAACATATCATTTCAGTCCTGAGTGAAAAGGAATAACAATAGATAGAAAGAAACGACTAATAGTAATCCAAGAGAAACTCGATCAGTCTCACACTGCTGATCCTCTGTATAAATCTAAAATCATTTAAATCATATATAATTAGCTAAATAGCCCAACAAGTCACCAAATCATACAACTCACTCAAACTATAATAAAGAAGTTGTATGCATGTCTAATTAATTCAAAGTCAGTAATAGTCATATGATCATAAATTAGTGCAAAAATAATAAAACTCACATACAATAACAACAAAGTCGATAAACAATAAAGCAGTATGGTACAAAAACTAGTAAAGCAGAATATTATGCAATATACTTTCTTCCTTGTTCTCATATGCACAGCCATTCAAACCTGAATTAATATTTATTTATTTATTTATTTTTAAAAATTTAGATTGTTGTAATGTAGTCGGCTAGCAATAAAGATCAGAGGTATAATAATCAGTGGGTCATGGTGGTTGGAGGGACTAGAGTCCACATGAAATGGTGGTCGGAGTGAAATTAGTCACCAAGAAAAGGTGGTCTAAGAGAATGTAGTGGATAGGTCACAGTGGTTGGAGGGATTGAAATTGGCGGGCTATGGTGGTTAAAGGGACCGTAATTTGTAGGTGTCGGTGGAAAGAGAGACAATAGTCGACATTTGATAGTGGTCGAAGGGCAATAGTCAACGAGGGATAGTGGTCGAAGGGCAATAGTCAATGGGGGACAATGGTCAAAGAGATCTTAATGGGCGGGTGAAAGTGGTTGAAAGTATCACATGTGATGGGCAACAATGGATGGAGGGAACTTAGTTAGTGTACCATGGTGCTCGTCATAGTGATTGTGGTCGGTGGGTGATATTGGTAGGAGGGATCATAGTCAACGGACGATAGTGGTCAATGAGACCGTAGTCAAAGGGACTATTATAGAGGGTTATGGTGCTCATAGGGGTTGTAGTTAGCATGACAATGGTTAGAGTGATCATAGTCGGCGAGCATGGTCGGTTGGATCGTAGTGGTCAGAGGGACCTAAGTCGATAGGTGGCGTTGGTCATATAGACATTCGTCAGCAGGCAATGGTGGTCAAAGGGACCATAGTTAGAGTGAGAAAGAGATCATAGGGACCATAATTGATAGATGACGTTGGTTGAAGGGGTGGAAGTCGATGGGAAATAGTGATTAGAGGGGATATAGTAGGTGGGAGACGGTGGTCGGGACCGTAGTCAATGGGTGATAATGGTTGGAGGGATTGTAGACAGCAGGTGATGGAGGTCGAAGGGACTGTAGTCAGCGGGCGACGGTGGTCGAACGAACCATAGTCGGCGGGCAACGAAGATTGAAGGGACCGTAGTTGGTAGGTGATAGTGGTAGGAGGGATCGTAGTTCGCGGGCATCAGTTGTCCAACGGCAGTCGGTAGCTGGGCGGTGGTCAAGTAGAAGTCTCACTACGGTCGACCATCAGATAGTTGATGGCGGTCGGGAGATTGTCAAATGATGATCGAGCGAAAGTGCGGTGGTGGTCGGTGGCAAGGCAGTGTGGTCCGATGACGATCAGTGGATGGGCTATGGTCTAGTGACGGTCGACGAATGTTCGTCAACAATGGTGCTTGGGTTGAGCTCTTGATCCTTGAAGCCTCATAGCTCTCTCCAGTCTCAAGCAAAAGGTCCAAGCCCCTTGCCACCCTTCATGTGAGAAGTGATGGTCTATTTATAGATTTTTTTAGAGTGTCATGCATCATAAATATAGAGAAGATCCAACATAA